GTGGATTATCGATTTTGTGCTTTAATTCAAGCGTGCATAATTCTAAGAGTTTTTATCACTAACTTTGACTTATTTAGGTTAGTATGGCACGTGACTATATCGGAGGTAAGGACTAGATGTATATGAATCGTGAAAAACGCACAAAACCTGAATAAATTGAAGGAGTTGCTTCTTTCATAAAATTTTTGTGTGAACACGATAGGATCCAACATGGGATGATCCTTTGTCCGTATGGTCACTGTGGGAATAGGGTGCACCGCAAGGAGGAAGATATAGAACTTCACATTTAAGCATGGTTTATTAGAGATTATACAATTTTGGTATATCACGAAGAAATTCTAGCTCATAATATTATCGATAATGAAGAAGAAGACAATGATGAAAATTTATTTCCAGAAGAGGAGATGGAGGAAATAGGAGAAGCTACTTTTGGTGACACTAATATTGCCAAAGATGATCATCCTTCTGGACAAGAATGTGTAGATGAGTATGAGAAGGACACGAAAGATGCCAATAGACCTATATATAAGAATGCAAAATATTCATCACTATCATGGTTCGTTTAACTTTTCTAGATTAAATGCCTAAATAAATGGAGTAACAAGTCATTTACAATACTTCTAAAATTCCTAAAAGATTCTATGCCTCCAGGAAATAATGTGCCTCAGAGCTGGTATGAAGCTAAAAAGATAATGTCTGATCTGGGCTTGAACTGTTAGAAGATTCATGCATGTCCTAATGATTGTGTACTATTCTGGAATAAAAATTCTAAACCGAAAGAGTGCCCTAACTATGGAGTGTCTGATATGGGCTTGAACTATAAGAAGATTCATGCATGTCCTAATGATTGTGTACTATTGTGGAATGAAAATTCTAAACTGATAGAGTGCACTAACTATAGAGTGTCTAGATATAAGAAGAAAGTACATGCTAACAAGAATAACATACCAATCAAGGTGGTACGATACTTTCTTGTGATACAGAGGCTGCAGAGGCTCTACAAGTGTAATAAAACAGTGGTAGCAATGATCTGGCATGACCGTGCTATTCCATGCAAAGATGGGAAAATGAGTCATCCAAGAGCTTCTCCAGCATGGAAGGATTTCGATAAGTTTCACCAAATATTTAGTTTTAATGGCAATCTGCATAGTACTTGGTCTATTATAATAATAATATATAATCTCTCACTGTGGTTAGCTATAGATCAATCATACTTTATGATGCCTCTTCTTATTGATGGGCCGAGTTCACCGGGCAACAATATTGACGTCTACCTTTGACCTCTCATCGATGAGTTACGGTCTTCATTCATTGATGGTGTAGAGACATATGATGTAGACAAAAGGGAAAACATTCACAATGCGTGAAGCCTTGATGTGGATAGTTAACAGCTTTCCTACATATGGAATGTTATCTGGTTATTTCGTACATGGTTACCCTTTACCAAAAAGATCTGTTATTGAGGTCATCGACGTATGGTTGCCCTTTACCAAAAAGATCTGTTATTGAGGTCATCGACGTATGTTTGAAGAAAATCATCCCTATAGGGATGACGCTATTAACTTTGATGGTACTAGAGAGAACAAAAAGATTCCAGCCCCCTTATCTGGAAAGGACATACTTGCTCAGTAGAATGTTCATGGAAATGTAACTTTCAGGAAAGACAGGAAAGGCCGCAAGGATGGAAAAAAAAGTATTTTTGAACTGTCGTATTAGGATACAAATACCGTGTGTCACAATCTAGCCGTCATGCACATTGAGAAGGGAGTATCTGAGCATATACTTAACTTGCTTCTCTACAAAAATAAAAAATCAAAACACAACCTCCAAGCTCAAAGAGATTTGCAGCACTTGAACATTAGAAAAGAGTTTAATCCTATACCTAAAGCAGGTAATCCAGGCAAATTTGTACTCCCCAATGCTCAAAATCAGAAAAGAAAATATTTTTAGAGGTATTGCATGAGCTGAAGGTTCCTAAAGAATTTTTAGGATCATTTAATATGAAGATAAAGACTGTGAAAGGCAAGATCAATGGGTTGAAGAGTCATGATCACCAATGTTATTATGCAACACCTTCTCCCACTATCCCTAAGGACTTCTCTTCTTGAATCCATTGGTTTAATGATCAATGAAGTTTGCACCTTCTTTAGAGAATTGTGTGCTAAAAATAACGATGATAAGGATCTAGAAAAGCTAGAGAAAGCAATATCCTTGATATTGTGCAAGCTTGAGCGGATTTTTTTATAGTCGTTCTTTCAAATCATAATACACTTGACTATTCATCTTGCAACGGAGGCTAGACTTGCAAGACCGATACAATGTAGGTGGATGTATTCTATAGAAAGGTAACTTCAATTTTTCATTTGATGCAATAGATATAATTTTGTTATTCTGCATTCTTGCATTTAGTAATCTAATGTGAGTTTTTGTAGGTACCTTCTAACTCTAAAAAATAGTATATGTACAAATTAGACAGAGGATTCTATTATGGAATGTTATCTCCTGGAGGAAGTAACAACATTTTGTTCTTGTTAGTTAGACGAAAATATAGAGAAGAGGCTTAATAGACATGTGAGTATTCATAACAGAATATATGGAAAACCAACTTACATGACAATGGGAATCATAATTAGTAATGATATACATCTCTTTATCCTTCTCAATAGCATATGTCTTGAGGAAGTTAGAGAATAAGTTTGTTTTATATTAATTGTTATATGTATATATGTATAAAATAATATAATACTAATGTTATAATAATTCATGTTGAGAACAGAATTCACAAGGATGACTTACGTGAAGAGCATCACAATTGGAATGTTAAACGATTGGAAAAACATCATTAGGACAATTTTTGTACCTAGTTTATAAATTATGTAAGATTTTTCTTGGTTAATATTTTTGAGTCATTATCTTAATCTAAATTTATATCTTTCTTTGTTAATATTTCAGTGCCTTCGTGTATCTCCTTGAGTACATAGTTAGCCTCTGGTGGCCGAACGCATCACAGATAGGGTCCGACACCGCTGCTAGAATAAGACATCCGTTAAAGCTGATAGTCAATTAGGAGATAGCGGTGAGAATACCTCTATAGATGCTTGGCTTCAACTAGATCTACAGGCAAAGTGCACTATGTCAAGTAGAGGATAATAGGATTCAACCAACAAGGCGTCACAAGTGCGTCTGTCTACAAGATGGTCTCAGAAGACCAGGAGATGCTGGGTCGCTCAAGGGCATCAGTGTAAACATGCTTCGAGTTGATCATAGAGCTTGTTGACCCTAGCTTGGATAGGGCGTCCGCCCGAGTGTTGAGACCGCGGAGGACTTGAGCTATCTTGAACTCCAGAAAGCTGGTCAATAACTCCTTAGCAACTTTAAGATATAAGGCCATCCTTGGATCTTTAGTTACGTATCATCCATTCACCTAATAGACGACTAATTGCGAGTCGGCTAATATGTACATGCATTCCACCTTCAGTGCTTGCGCCACTCGAAGGCTAGCGAGAAGTGCTTCATACTCAGCTTTGTTGTTTGAAGCCAAGAAGCCAAAGGAGATGGAGTGTTCATGTGTCGACCCGTTTGGGCTTCGCATGACTACCCCCTCTCCACTGTCGGCTTCTCCAGAGGACCTGTCCACTTTCAACAACCACCATGAGACAAACTCAGGCGAATCATGCTCCAGGGTGTGACCGATCTGTGGAGTAGATGCTTGGGCTGTAGCGAATACTGGCGGTGATGCCTGGATGGATGGCAAAGATGCATCTGGATCGTCGCTTGGTGAGGTCGACTCAATCAAAAAATTAGCCAAGGCTTGAGTTTTGATTGTCGTCTTGGTTTGAACTGGACATCATATTTACTGAGTTCGACTATCTAGGCGACCATCCTCCCTGATATTGTAGGACTGCCCAACGCTTTCTTCAAAGGTAGACTCGTCTGCATGATGATGGCATGGGCCTAAAAGTACGGGCGAAGTCTCCTTGCAGTAGTGATGTGTGCGAAGGTAGCCTTCTCTTTAAGGGGATAGTTGAGTTCTCCCGCTTTGAGGACCCAACTCATATAGTAAATGGGCTTCTAAATGTTCTCTTCTTCTCGATTAAGGATGGAGCTGACTGCTTCAGAGGAGATAGTCATATATAAGTACAATGTCTCTCCTCTTATAGGCTGGTTTAGCAGTGGCTTAATACTCAAGTATGCATTGAGATTCTAAAATGCAGCACTCCATTCCGCCATCCAAGTCATGCTCTCCTTTAAGTTCTTTCTTCCCCTTAAAATCTTGAAGAATGGGAGGCTCCTCTCGGTAGATTTGGAGAGGAAGCGACCCAGAGCCGCAACCTTCCCGTTCAGCTTCTGAATGTCTTTCATGGTACCCAGCTCAAGTAGTCGCTCTATGGTGGATATTTTCTCGTGATTGATCTTTATACCTCTCTAGGTAATCATAAACCCCAAGAATTTTCCTGATTGTACCCCAAAGGTGCACTTTATGAGATTGAGCTTTATTCGGTAGCGTCGGAATATAGAGAAGGTCTCGTCCAGGTTTGATACATGGGTCGACGCTTGTTTTGACTTTACCAGCAATTTGTCCACATAGGCCTCCAAATTACAGCCGATCTGGTGCTTGAAGACCTTGTTGAAAAGTCTCTGATATGTAGCCCTGACATTCAATCCGAACGACATCATCTTATAATAGTATGTCTCCAAGTCAGTGATAAAGGAGGTCTTCTCCTGATCATGCTCTGCCCTGAAGATCTAGTTATAGTCGGAGAAGGCATCCATGAAGTTGAGCAGATCATGTCCCACACTCTCGTCAACCAGCTAGTCGATTCGAGGCAGGGGATAGATGTCCTTGGGACCAGCTTTGTTGAGGTCATGAAGTCCACACACATTCTCCATTTGTTCAGTTCTTTCTTCACCAACACAACATTAGCTAACCACTCCGGGTATCAGACTTCCCGGATGAAGCCAGCTCTAAAAAGCCACTTGACTTCGTCGGCCGCCACCTTCTAGCGCTCTGGGCTGAGATGTATCTTCTTCTGTCGAACTGGCATGGTATGCCTATCGATAGCCAGCTCATGGCTAATCACTTCGGAGGGAACCCCCGACATGTCTTCGGGTTCCCAGGTAAACACATTAGCATTTTCCTGCAAGAACTTGGTCAAAACTCCTAACAAGGCCTGGACTAGACTGGACCCAATCTTAATCGTCTTCAATCCTTCTTGGTCAATGGGTATCTCCTGAAGCTCTTCCACCGATATCGTCCTCTGCTGCTCAGCTACTTTCTCCAACTAGAGTTATGCTTTCTCAATAGGCATGGCGTCTTGTACGCCTTTGCCCTTGGTCGAGAGTAGGTAGTAGGACCTGGCCTCTCTTTAATTGTTCCTAGCGACTCTGACTCTGTTAGGGGTCAGGAACTTGACCATCTGGTAGTAAGTTGAAGGAATGGCCCACAAAAGATGGAGGGCAGTTCGGCCTAAGATGATATTATGGGCTGATTTGATATCCATCACTAGGAACTGGACTTGGACGGTGGCTTGCCTAGGGTACTTCCCAACTGTTAATGGGAGAGTAATCATCCCTTCAGGCAAAAGAGAGTGGTCTGTGAATCCGATGAGGGGTCCTCTATAGGGGAACAGACGGGATTTGTCGATGCCCATCTAGTTGAAGGCGTCGACATACATGATGTCTACCAAGATCCCTGTGTCAACCATGATTTGCTTCACCTGATAGCCATCAATCCCCGCAATGATGATGATAGGATCGTCATGAGGCGTCTCAATGCCTTGCAGGTTGGCATCCCCAAAGGATATGGGCCCATCTGCCTTCGTCCACTTGTCACCATGGTCGACCCACAACACCCTCAGGGTATATCTCTTCTGAGCATCGTTGGATGACCCCCCAACAGTGGGACCACCATTGATTGTGTTGATGACCCATTTGTGGCTGGGCTCTAGGGTCGGTTGTCTTTCTGTAGTCGAGGATGAGGCGATCGTGAGCAAGATCTTCTATCATCTTTGGCTAGAGCAGCTTCGCTACGAATCCATCGAGAGATAAGGTTCTTTAGTTACCCTCTCTCAATAAAATCATCAATATCCCTCTTAAGGATACAACACTCGTCGGCGAAATCGCCGTGATTCTGGTGATAACAACAAAACTACATGGTGTCTTAGTTCTTTGGATTCGAGCTTATCTGAGGAGTAGGCTCCATGAGGTGTCCCTCCTTTTGAACCATAGCTCTTCGACGTCGGGTCCTTTTGTTGGTCCCTCATGTTGGACCGATTGGAATGAGGGTCGGCCCTCAGAGGGTCCCTTGGCCATTCCTACCTCGCAGGTGGGCCTCTGGCTGACTCTGGTGTCAGCGCCATCGCGGGTGCTACTGATGGAGTCAGCAGGATGGATGGTACTGCTAGAGCTGCTGAAGTAATGGTTATGGAAGTCTCTGCAACCCTAATCGACGCCTTATAAGCTCGGGCGTCCTCCATGTACATGTACCCGTGGGCTTTGGTCATCAACTGTTCATAGTTGGTAACTGGCTTCTTAGCAAGTGAGTCGGCCAACTCATTACTCTGCAAGCCGGTCACGAGTGTAGACATAGCAACTGCACTCTCTAGATCATTCACTTCTAGCCTCTTTGCCTGGAACCTTTTGAAGTAGGCTCGAAGGCTTTCTTCAAGCCCCTGCCTCATCTAAATTAACACATGAGGGTGCAACTTTTTCTTGGTGTTAGCCAGGAAGTGATGGATGAAGTTCCGGCTGAGTTATTAAAAACTACTGATGGACTTCTTCTCGAGAGCATTCCACCAAAGCTTGGCACTCCCTAAAAGAGTGATAGGAAAACATCTATAGATGACTGCTTCCAATGCTTGGAGCATGCTCATCACATTGTAATAATTCTTAACATGCTTAGAGGGATCTCCCTCACCTTTGTACTTCTCCACGTGAGGCATCTTGAACTTCTCACATAGGGCATTCATGATGTCATCTGAGAGAGGGGTATTACCCCTGATAGCATTGGCGATCGGTTTGTACACCCGATCATATCCAGAGGCCCTTATGGTAGCAGAGGGGGCTAGAGAGGCATGGTGATAGTGGAGGGTTTTAGAAACGACTCCCCTAGTACGGTTCCGAAGGTGACCATGACCAAGACTCTCGCCAGTGGTCTCCCGATGATGGTGGCAATGTCGTCGAGACTCGTCAGCGCGAGTCGACCGATGAGGTGGTGGGGATTCGTGATTATCGTGATCCCCTAACTGCTTAGCAGTAGCATGAGGAATCTGAGGAGGGACTGTTTGCTGTGCTTCGGAGGGATGGGTCTCTAATTGTTGGTCTCCCGAAGGCGGGGGGAGAGAAGTGGCTTGTTGTGGCTGTGGAAGCCAACTGAGAAGGTCGCTAGTTAAATTGGCGAATTGTTCTTGGAGAGACTGAAAAATCTGCTAAGCTAGCTGTTTCCTCAAGCTGGGCCCGAGTAACATAGCTCTGGCATCGTTCTAGAGGGTGAGACTAATCCGACCCTTGTTCAGAACCTGCAATATTTTCTCAAAAAAGAAAGAGGCCCCACGGTGGGTGCCAAACTGTTGATGTAAGTGATCACACAGTCAATATGTATCCGTGTTTTGATGAGTTTGTTCAGTATTGATGAGGGGCCGTTTTCTTTCCTGACTTTATGTTATGTTCTTGAGTTAGGTTGCTGAACAACCTAGACATGTAGAACAAGTGAGAGGACGGGGCTTGGATCTCCTGTGGTTCCTCCAATAATCAAGTTAGCTGATGAACTTGAGTGAGGAAAAAGAAGAACTGCGTGAGTTCTTGTATATACAGTATATCTGCTCTAAGATTAGATTTGTGTACCCAAAACTCGATCCATGTGATGTGCGAATAGTACCTGTATTTAAACCTAGGGTATAATGGTAGATTGGTCACTTTGGCCGAGCACAGGAGGGCGGTGGTTGTTGGAGTTATAATAAAGATAACTTAAAACTTGACTTTGTAGAGGAAAAGAGGAAAAGTTTTAGTCCTTTTTGTAGAAATCCGATAAATGAGACTGGTTCAAGGCGTAGTCCACCAAGCTCTCACGGATCTATACAATTGTCACAAAGTGAAGGTTCAAACCGAAAGGTACCTCCACCTATTACATAGTATAAGGGAACCAGCAATCTTATTTATTTTTAAGTTCTTCTTTTACTGTTATTTCTGAATTATTTGAAGTTTTAAGTTATGTGGGGGATTGTTGGAGTTATAATAAAGATAACTTAAAACTTGACTTTGTAGAGGAAAAGAGGAAAAGTTTTAGTCCCACATAGGAAATGGAATAGGAAGAAAGAGTCTTTATAAGCCTTCCCTTTCCCTCCTATGCCTAGAAGAATATAAAGGTTATGCTCCACACCACACACGCGCGCGCCGGCCGGGCCGGGCTCGGGCTCGGGCTCGGGTCGGTAGGATTAAATATTTTGTAACTGTTATAATTAAAATACCGCGGATTTATGGATTTAAATGACAAAAAAAGGGCTAACGTTAATACATTAATAGGTGAGTAATTAAAACGTGTTAATTACGAGATTTGCTGGTTTTTCCCTATAAAAGGATCTAAAATCCGAAGAGTTGAATATAGCGAAATATAACAAGCTCTTCTTCTCCTTCTCTGTTCTTCCTCTTGAATTTACTTACTGTTACGATTTGCTGGTTCCTTGAAAGTCGAGAAGTATTCGCAAAGCCTTCTTGAAGCTCGTGCCGACGAGAAGGAGGTCGCCTGACCGAGGGTCGTTGTATCTCCGGGAACTTTTGCCGCGTAGCCCTGTACGAGAGGGGGCAATTAGTTTCTTGGGACAGTGCTTGCACGCCTCGACCATCAGGCCGTATTTCTAAACTTTATTTACTTTCATTTGAATTTCATTTCTGAGCTATAATAGTTATCTGTTTTTTTCTAATTTCAATTAACAGTTTAAAACTTAATTTGTGTTAATCTTTGTCTAAACAGCCCATATTTCTAACAGCGAAGTGTAGGCTGACAGCTGAGTCAACCTCTACTTTATAGGTGTTGGCGGGCAACTGGAGGAAGGATCACTTCGGCATTAAATGGAAAGTGATTGGCGACATATGGCAGTGCCCACGTGGTCCAATGAGTAATGAAGGCTATCGAGGCCAAAAGCATGATGGCACCTGCCAAGTATTAAATACGATGTTGACACGTTGCCAGTGAGGATAGGATCGAGACATAAATTGTCATTTAGTTTTGCCGAGAAGTAACGTCTCTCGAGTCGTCTTCACGAGGCGTCTGGCAAATAGTCAAGTGGACTCGTGGTGAGTCGTCTTCGACAAAAGGGGGCGGCAAGTATCGCCTTTCGAGTCGACATGAAGGGATGTCGACTCGACAAGTCGACTGAGTCGTCGTCCCTACTAGTGTGACCGCTTAGTTAATTGGGGTATAGCATGCAGAAGTACACTTGTCCATTAATTGCACTTAGACGAGTGAGAACACCGTAATAACATCTTTTAAATGCACATATATTGCCTTGGACCGTTTCCACCCTTGTCTCCTATTGCATTTATTATCATGTGAAAAAATTATCAAGATG